GTGTTCCCGACCGTGCCGTCAGCATTTTCACGACCTTAATGGGCAGACGCTGGGCTTGTCGTAGTGGATCAGACGGGGGCGCGGAGTGGAGAAACGGTCGGTTGTTGCTGCTGCCGCTGATATTCCGAGTTACGGCGCTGCTGCTGCTGCTACAGATGCTGCTGATGCTTTCCCAGGCTGCACAAAAATCTCTACTTCTCAGGACAGACGCCGAGGGCGACGTGATCATGTCCCAACAGTCGGGGAATGAAGCGAATCTGCTTTGGTCAGATTCATCAAGAAAAGCCTCAACAACAACAACAAGAAGAAGAAGAAGAAGAAGAAGAAAATAAAAGGAGCCAAAACCAAAGTAGGAGAGAAAAATAAAGTCAGTGAAAACACATAATCCTCGTGAAGGTAGAGACTGTGACTGTGTCCGCGGCTGCGTCCTGCTCCACGCTGCGCTGCGCCTCGCCTTGTTGCTGCTGCTGTTGTTGTTGCTGCTGCTGCTGCTGCTGCTGCGTCTGTTCGTATCCTCCTCCTTCTGTTCCGTCCTCACTCTGTCCTGCCCAGGAACCGACTGCTGGAAAAATTTTCACTTCAAACGCAGCTGAATTAGTCCGAGATTAAAGCCTTTGCCGCCTTCCAATCAAATGGGACCCTGAGGTGATTGGAGGGTCAAGGGGATGTGACGTCCTCCTCTGTGAGCGCCTGTGTTTTGACAGCTCAGGGGGCGGAGCCTGCTTTAATGCCCTGGTCTCTGTCTGCGCCTGCGCTGCTCCACATGTGCGGCTGTTGATTTCTTAAACGTTAACTTTAAACTGCGTCTGTACGACGGCAGCTAACAGCTAACAGCTAACAGCTACAGACGAGGACGAAGTTTTTGGACTTTCCCTTAAAAGTCAGTTCGTTTTAAGTAAGATTTCAAACGAAGAAAAAAAGTTTCTACACGTCATATATTTATTCACACACTTTGGAGTAAACATCAACTTCTTCTTTACATTTTCTCTCTGTATTTGCCCACTTTTAGCTTCATTTTGCTGTTAGTTTATGCCCACTGACGTATCCCTTTAGGTATAAAGTTATTAAAATATAAAACCTTTATCTACCGATATAGGTTAACGTTCTGGCTAAAGTTGAGATTATTCTAAAATAATCAGTCATTTTTGTCCATTATCTGACTGCTACTGTTTATGTATGGCTAACTTTGAGCTAGTTTTACTCTTTTTTTGACAATTTAAAAAAGTATTTTCTTCAAATTTTTTTCACATTTCTCTCAGGTTTTATCAGGTGTCTTTGAGCAGTTGATAAGTTATTCCCAACTAAAGCTGTGCTAACAGTCATCTTTTTTTGACAGGTTTCTGCTAATTTTGCTCTTTTTTCTGTCATTTTAATTATATTTCTTTTAGTTTTTCAGGACAACTTTTTTATTTTTCTGTTGTTTGTTCCTGTATTTTAGCTCATTTGAACTACAGCACATTAACAGAATATTTATTAGAAATTATGAAAACTCCCCCACCCCCCGTGTGTGTGTGTGCGTGTGTGCGGCCCGGCGACCACCGGTCCAACCCTCCTCAGCTTTTTTGAATTCCTGCTTTTCTTCAGACAAGTGTTGACAGGAACAGAGCAGTGGAGTTGATGGAGGGGTGTGAGTGTCACATGCCCCCCCCCCCCCCCCGTGTGTGTGTGTGCGGCCCGGTGACCCCCGGTCCACCCCTCCTCAGCTTTTTTGAATTCCTGCTTTTCTTCAGACAAGTGTTGACAGGAACAGAGCAGTGGAGTTGATGGAGGGGTGTGAGTGTCACATGCCCCCCCCCCCCCCCCCCGTGTGTGTGTGTGCGTGTGTGCGGCCCGGTGACCACCGGTCCAACCCTCCTCAGCTTTTTTGAATTCCTGCTTTTCTTCAGACAAGTGTTGACAGGAACAGAGCAGTGGAGTTGATGGAGGGGTGTGAGTGTCACATGCCCCCCCCCCCCCCCCCCGTGTGTGTGTGTGCGGCCCGGCGACCACCGGTCCAACCCTCCTCAGCTTTTTTGAATTCCTGCTTTTCTTCAGACAAGTGTTGACAGGAACAGAGCAGTGGAGTTGATGGAGGGGTGTGAGTGTCACATGCCCCCCCCCCCCCCCCGTGTGTGTGTGTGCGTGTGTGCGGCCCGGTGACCACCGGTCCAACCCTCCTCAGCTTTTTTGAATTCCTGCTTTTCTTCAGACAAGTGTTGACAGGAACAGAGCAGTGGAGTTGATGGAGGGGTGTGAGTGTCACATGCCCCCCCCCCCCCCCCCGTGTGTGTGTGTGCGTGTGTGCGGCCCGGCGACCACCGGTCCAACCCTCCTCAGCTTTTTTGAATTCCTGCTTTTCTTCAGACAAGTGTTGACAGGAACAGAGCAGTGGAGTTGATGGAGGGGTGTGAGTGTCACATGCCCCCCCCCCCCCCCCCCCGTGTGTGTGTGTGCGTGTGTGCGGCCCGGTGACCACCGGTCCAACCCTCCTCAGCTTTTTTGAATTCCTGCTTTTCTTCAGACAAGTGTTGACAGGAACAGAGCAGTGGAGTTGATGGAGGGGTGTGAGTGTCACATGCCCCCCCCACTATAATACACACACTCTCCTCACACACGCACGCACATCTCCCCTCTCTCTCTATCCCCTCCCTCCCTCCCTCTCTTTCTCCTCCCTCCTTCAGTCAAGTGTCAGTGGAGCTGCAGCGCCATCCATCAGCTGTTTGTCAGACGCTGTCAATCCAGGCGGAGTGATTTATGTCAGCTGTAGTGAGGCTGATTACATGCCAGTGTGAGTGCGAGGAAAGAACAAATGATGGAGAGAGACGAGGAGAAGAGGAGAGGAGAGAGAGAGGAAACAGGAGACAGTGAGTTTTCACAGGAAACTCCATCACACTCTGCTGTTATTTCATTATCACACATACATCAGTCCACACTCAGAGGCTCATAATAAAGTTTGATGATGAAGATGATGATGATGACGACGCTGCTTCTTCAGTTTTCTTACATCTCGACTGAGGCAGTTTTTTTAAAACTACCATTAAAGGTTTTTAAAGGTGTTAAAATATGTAAAAGACACAGAGAAAGTAATGGGTGAAAAACACTCATTAAATAGATATTACCTTTAATAAAACTACCAAAGAAAAATGTGAAATTAGAAGGTAATGTTTGGCTACTAATAATAAAATATATAGTAAAAAATAAAACATTTATGCATGTAAAAAAATAAGCGTATACATATGTTTATTATATAAAATTGCACATAAATGTGTTTATTTATCAAGACCAATATTGATAAAGCACCAGAAAATTACAGTTTATTATAGTTAATTTGTTTTATTATAAATAAATATATATTTAAACATATTCAGATTTTTAATATTTCCAAATGTAAAAAAACCAATACAACATAAAATAACAATTTATTTAAATAATAATCTATTTGTTTTATTTTAAATATAAATACAAATAGTATTATAAATACATATATGAAAGAATTGTTTCCTGTATTTTCTATCATTTATAAATATTAAATAATATAAATGTGACACTCTTTTCATTTTATTCCCATTAATTAACCCTTCAGTTATACAGTCATGTTATGATAACATTTTTATACTTTATAATTATTCAGGACATATATATTTTCTTTATGCAGTACATGTATACATATATCCTGATACAGTAACGTGGTTTGTTTTCCACATAGATGGACTGTTTGTCTACATGTTCAGGTCCACGTCCATTTATTTCTGTCTCATTTTAATTTCCCAAAGTGCCTGTGCTGTTGTTTAAATCATCAGCCTCAGGCTCATCGCTGTCATCGCTGTCATCTCTAACAAGATTAATCACTCTGTTTAAACCAAAATCCAGAGGAAATCCAGACATTTTTAATATGGACGCCGGCTCCTTTTGGATTTACATACAATAGCAATGATTTATTGTCTTTAAACAGGGGAGAAAAATGGAGCCAGGAGGAGAAAATAGGAGGAGAACAGCAGATAAAAACCCTGTGGTTAATCAGTACCAACACAGTCTTCTCTCTTTTCTCTCTTTTCTTTTTTTTCTTCTCCTTCTCCACAGTTGCCCAATCTTGACAGAGGCGTTCCTATACCTTCCGGGGCCCCGGGCAGAGGAGCCTAATGGCCCCCTGTGACCAACAGTCATGAAACACCAAGTGGAAAACTCAATCAATTTAAATTTTTTAATTGTCTTGACCACCCTGGTGTTTCTCTGTCTGTGGTTGGTGTGAACAGTCGGTCGTGTCTCCAAGGTGTGACTGACGTACACTAACATTTAAATAACTTGTTTATCCTTCTAATCTAATGAAGAGGTTTTCAACAGGGGGCTCCCAGTCCTTGTGTGGTCCATGTCGGTCCTGCAGGGGGCAGGGGAGGTAGTATATTAAAATATATATATATGTGTTTCAGTTAAAAACATCAATCTGTGTTAACTTACGAATAGCATTAAACTTTTTTATACAAAATTTAAATAAATCTCTCTCTCTGTCTCTCTCTCTCTCTCTCCATCAGTTTGTTCGCCCTGAGCCTAAAAATTGGTAAGAACTTCTGTGTTAAACTCTATTATAAAAAAGTCCATCTTTTTCAGTTTTGCTAATATTTGCGTCCTTGACTGTTCTATCATGTACAAAGTTACACAGTTATGTGCTTCAAATGTAATTTTAAACAAAGGTTGTTGTGAATCAAATAAAACAAAGCAGATGTTTCACCCACATGTTTCTGCTTTTTAAAATAAAGCCAGAAAATAATTTTTATAAAATAAATCTAATCGGACATGAAAGTGAAAACACACGGTAAAAAAAAGCTTGAAATCAGTTTATACGGGCCGGTGCTGTTCAACATGTGTTTCAGTACAAAGGCCCGTCAGCTTATCATTCACACATTACTCAAATGTTTTTGTAATTGTGTGTGGTGTAAATAAATAAACAACTTCATAAATTAAGTTGTTTTGTGTTGTTGCATTTTTAAAATTAAATGCATTGTTAAGGATGTGGAGGAAAAGTGAGCACAGCTGTGATTCCCTCGCATGTTTACTGTGTGTGTGTGTGTGTGTGTGTGTGTGTGTGATTGATCACAGTCTGGGTGTTTTTCTGCAGCAGGGGGAGGAAGGGGGCGCTGTCATTCTCTGACACAGTCTGTGAATTATTAGGGTAAAGAAGGGCGACCATAAATTTAGCCTGTCAGACCCCCAAAAAGAAAAAACAAAAAAAAGAAGGAAAAAAATCCCTTTACTGTCAGTGTGTGTGTGTGTGTGTGTGAAATAGTAGTGATGCTGCTGATCCACACATACAAACACAGACTGATACCTGTATTACAACCTTATTTTGAGTAAAAAAAAGTGCAGCATAATTTTTTCAAAGCATTTTGTTTAGTTCAGTGTCAAGTCATTTCATGTTTAACCTTTTTTACGGTTATTTTAGACTGTGTTTTGGTTTCATTTAGGCTCATTTTTATTTGTCTTTCACCTAGTTCAAAGTTAACTCTAGGTTACCAGTTATCTATCAGGTTAACATACCATTAGCCCTGCCAAGGATAACTCTTTTTTAAGCTAATATTTAGCAACTGTATCCATTAAACGGCCACCGTTGACCAAGTCTGTAGAAGGCCTGACGTGGTGCCTCTCTGAAGTGTAGCTCCGCCCCTCGGATGTGTTTACCATGACGTCGGTAAAACTAAACTTCACAGTCTTAGCTAACCTCGTTATTCTACGACTAGTTTCCACTTTTTAAAAGCTAATATTTAGCTACTTTTAGTCAATTAAGGCTTTATTTAAATATTTTGTCCAAAAAAACTAGATTCATTAAATTTCTCCTGGTTAAAAAACAATGAACTTTGGCAAAACCAAAGTGGCTATCCAGCTAGCTTTCTCTGCGTTGCTAAAATTAGCCTTTCTAATAAAGGGGTATGTACGCGACTCCTCTGAATTTATAAATATTTAGAGTTAAAATGTGTTTTCAGACAGTCTTTTTATTCAATTTAATTTGAATCAGGTGTTTGGTGACGACCGTAACGACCAGGTGTAGAATCTCCGCTGTTCGTCGTTCACCTCCTCCATGATCTAACATGGCGACGGATAAACGCCGATAACGACGTTAGGTTTTAACGACTAACAAAACTCGACGTGAGCAGAGACGCCTGGTGCTGAGGTGAAGATAAAAAATACCCAATAACTTCATTAACGGTGCCTGATATTGTGTCCCCGGGACCCTCCCCCCACAACCCCCCATCACAGTAAGTACTGTTTATTAACTATTTATTAACGGCGACGGAAACCTAATAACGTTAAAGATGTTTCATGTCTTTCTGTCTGTGTTCAGTCTGGAGCTGTGCTGGGTTTTATTCATCAGTTTTAATAAAACAGGAGCAAACATTAAAATGGAACTCGAACAGGATGTTTCTAATTACCGATAGTTACACATGTTTGTGTACGTTCTAGGTTTAGTGATGTAAGTGTGTGTTTGTGTTTAAATGATTATTTAGGTGATTCCTGGTCTGGGAAGTTTGAGAAACTTTACATTAGATCATGTGATTTTCATCCACGCAGTGAGGTTGAAAGTTTTCTAATCAATACAACACATTACAGCTGCTGCTGCTGCTGCGGAACGAGCACGAGTTCCTCCTGCAGAGCAGCAGCAGCGGGTCAGCTGATGGAGGCAGCAGCAGGAAACTGAAGTGAGACGGGGAGAGACAGAGAGAGAGAAGCTCAACTTTGTCCAACCAGCAGACCTGAGCGGAGGATTCTCTCATCTCAAACTAAAACCAAATAAACAACCGAGGAGCTGCAGCAGCAGCAGCAGCAGCGTCATCGTTGAAACGTCATGGCTCAGCCGAGTGACGCGTCAGTGTCGGTGTGCGGGACTCAGGTGAGTTCATACTCAGAGAAATCTTTACATTTGTTTCTACTTTGATACTTTTTTATATAACGGTAGTTCGTGTGAGTTTTGGCAGCACGTTTTTAAAAAAACAAAAACTACGATTTCGTTTTATTTCCTCTTCTCGCCTCGGTCATGTGACGGTGACCAACGTGACTTTCAGCGGCTCTGCTGTGACGTCACAACAGGGAAGACCAGGAAAACGTAAAGCTGTTATTATGAATTACTGACATTATTTAAATTATTTTGTACTTTCCAAAACAATATATTTATATTATTTGTATATATTCTTACATAAATCTGCTTTTTTCTTTTTATTTCTCTGCTGCCTTTGTTACTGTGACGTGTCATTTCCCTTTTCTCTGTGTGATAAATGTGTTTTTAATCTTAACCTAGAGATAATTTGACTTTTTTTGTTTTCTGCAGATCTCCTTCATCGGACACGACTGTAGGAACGTTCCAGATTTCCTGGGAGACAAATACGGTCACTACGCCAAAAGACTGGATCTGAGCTTCAATCAGCTAAGGTAGGATCAGCTGGTCTGTCTGAACCCCATGTTAACCCCAACTGTCCAGCCCATGACCCCCCAGTGGTTATTAGCACCTAACACAGTAACATAACTTGAACCAGAACTGCCTGGTCGTGTCTCGACTGGACCACGTCGTGTGTGTGAAGTTGAACGATTTTATTTCATCTGTTCTGTCTGTGTAACATGTCCTAAAAGCATAAGAGTTTATGTTATTTTATTTCATCTGTTCTGTGTAGCATGTCCTAAAAGCATAAGAGTTTATGTTTGCATCAGACCAGAGTGGAATATGAGATTTCATTAGATTTCTACATGTTTTCCACTGGGTTCTAGAAACCCTCGACTGAATTGTTTTGTTTACTCTTTTACCCACGGTTCTGAAAGAGGAAATGGTTTTGAAGCTCCTGCCCTCACTGGTGATTACCAGATCTTAACTGTTTCAGAGGTGATGTAACAAAAACCTCGGACATGTCAGTGTTGAACGTGTGTGTGTGTGTGTGTGTGTGTGTGTGTCACTTCTGCTGTGAAGCTTCATAGAAACTGACTGGAACAAGTCTGATCCAGGAAGATCAAGAGCAGCATTATGTTTTCTGCCCTTGAACCCGTCACTTTAAGGACTGGATCAGATGTTTAGATGTTGAAATATGTATGACGGTGATGATGATGGGGCTAATTTATTATTAATTCTACGCAGGGTCTAATCTCAGATGTCAGATATCGTTACGAAGCTTCAAAGGCCCCGACGTGGGGCGGAGAAGCAGCGAGTAATGAGGTGGAGCTCGAAGTGTTTGGGGCTGAAATCAGAGGATTATTGATTGATGGTCGGCCGTCGGCCAGAGTTGATCTGTACACATTTCTCCTTTTTAACATCCAGTGGCTGTGTTTATATTTCTGTGCTTGATATTGTGAGTCAAGGTGCAACGTTTACATAAAATCTATTGGCTGTTTGTAAAAGATGATGTAATGATGCAGAAAATGGAGCACATTAGCTCCAAACTTACAAAAAAGTGTTTTTATATTCTTCAACTACCAGTAAGAAAATCAGCAACTCACATTATTGGCACCAAAGATTTGTTTTGGTCATTAATGACATCCGTTAATCAGTGATATTTCACTTTAATGTTCATGACCATCATTTAAATGGACATAAATATTTACGGACGTTTCACAAAAGACAGCAGTAAAACAGTGGCTCCAGTTTCTCCAAAACTAAAATAGTTTTTTTTTTCTCCTTGGTATTTCAGGAATGGTGTCCAACACCAGGAAATAGTGTCAGTTTTTATAAAATCCAAGTCTTGTATTCATAAAACTTTAGGCTCCAATATTCAGGAGTGATTTTTTTTTTCTCTCTAGCCGTCATTTTACCTTTGTTTCACCGTAGCTGTCAGCAGGTAGAGACGGTGTGTGTCGGCACTGACACCCTGACCCTGTTCAGTGTCAGCTGAATGGGTGCAGTTGTAAACACGTGCAGGCGTTAGTGAAACTTGGCCGACTGCCTTCAGCATCGCTGTGCACTTCGCTGCTGCTGCTGCTGCTGCTGCTGCTGCTGCTGCCGCTGGTTGAGGTCAAATAGAGAGCGAGACGCTGTCAGTGTGTGTCGCCGCTAATGTGCTGATTTCTGTCAGCTCTATTGACAACGATCGTCCATGAAACCTGACAACACCTGTAGTCACAAAGACACATGTACAAACACACACACACTGTGTGTGTTTGTACATGTGTCTTTGTGACTACAGCTGTGAGTGGCTGTTGGACAGGTAATAGCAGGATGAAATAATGGTGTCACACTGTCACGGCCAACGTGTGGAGAATGTGTTGCGTTGACTCGTAGTACGTCTCGTCTCAGGCGGAGTTTGGAAGGTGTCGTGTTGTTGGGGCAACTTTTTTTTTCCCGGTAAGTTGCCACTATGTTGATTTGAAAGTGCTAAAAACAGAAAGGTGTCACTGGTTGATTCAAACTGACTTAAACTGCCAACGTTGGCCCGACTACATCTGGTGACGTCATCTGTAAACTTCCTGTTTCTACAGCGACCCCTAATGGACACAGTGAATACACAAAGAACAAGAACAACATCAAATCAAAAGAATAAAATGTCATTGAACTGTGGTGGTCTTCAGAAACCAGGAAGTGTTCGACCACTGTGTCCACTAGGGGGCTCTGTTCAGAATTAAATAGAGACAAAATGAATAAAATACCTAAAAGTCCTCCTCAAAGGTGCAGCGCACACCAACCGTTTTCAATGTTAGGAACGATGTGTCCAGATTAGCATTCAGCCTGATGAATGAAACTGTGTGTGTGTGTGTGTGTGTTGTGTACAAAGTCTATGTATGTGTGTATTTGCGCTCAGCCAGCCTACATCGTCCATGCTGGCAGGCTTTTTGCATTTTAATGACAAATCAAGTATTCTAACTGGAGCATTAGGACGAAAGTGCTCTTAGTGTCTGAGCTGTCAAAAAAAAAAGGAATGAAAAAAAATGTAGCTGTAAGTCGTCTGATGAAAAGAGAACAAAGGAGACACAGTAGAGGGAGGCCTGTGACACCGTGGAAATGAAATAAAACCTTGTACGGCCTGTCAGACGTGTCGTTTCATATTCATATCTCAGGGACGTTACAGCATTAGGTCGGCACTTGTACCTCACTCATCTGTCTCTCCTCGTTCCTCCGAGCCGCCGCTGCTCCGTCTTTCAACTGGCTGTGTGTCAACACAGGAAGAAAGGCTGCTAATTGACAAATGAGTGTCACAGACACTGAGTGATCCTTTTTTATCCCTTTTAATCCAAGATTGGTACAGTCTGCTCGTGTGATGAGGGAGGAGGAGGGCCACGGCGCCGGTGACGGCGGCGGCTCGCGTTATTGACAGAGTCTCAGCGTGAGGTGTTGAGCGGGAACCCAGAATGAGACGTGACAACGGGAGGGGAGCCTGTCATTGTCTCGGGCTAAGTGTTCGATGTGCAGACCGTCGGTGTGCAGATAAAGTGTCAGTTAGCAGCAGCAGCAGTTTAAAGTCCTCCAATCACTTAACTGTAGGCCTCTCAGCATCAGTGTGTGTGTGTGTGTGTGTGTGTGTGTGTGTGTGTGTGTGGGCCGGTCTAGACCAGTAGATGTTATTATATGGACCCATAAAAATCCACAACACTTAAAGGACTAGTGCTCAGCAGCAGTTTGTCCAACACTTGATGATTAGATGATGTCACGGTTGCGACGGCAGTAGCTTGTTATGCTAACTGAAAAGTGAGAGAATAATGAACAGGGTTTGAACCTTGAAGATCATTTCTGACCCTGGTTAAACCAGAGCTCCTAACAACAGCTTCTCACCTGGTTCTGTCTGGTCTGTTTCATTAGCCTGTCTGTGCTAGTTAGACTGGTCCTAGACTGACTGCAGTCACAGTTGTTTGCTGCTATCTGTTCCAACTGTAGGGGCACTCTAGCACTGCTGACCTTTGACCTGTCTTTTTAATGATGTTTAACTCCATCATTTACAGTATACCTGAGTTGGCCTGTGTTTGTTGCCTAAGTCTGTAGAAATCTTTGTCAGGTTACGTCTACATGCTAACACCTTCATCTGAGGTTTACATGCTAGCAACATTGTGAGACAACTGATGTTTGGCAACTATTTACATGCAAAGTAGAAGCAGTTGACACAGAAATCAACCCACTAATTGAGAGATGACTGTCCCAGATGCTAACTGCTCCTGTTTTTATCCATTTTACGTACAAGATTGGGAACGCCGGGAGGACAGGTAGCAGCTGCGGCTAATGGTATTGACAGAATTCCTGGATGAGGTGTTGAGCTGGTTCCTGGAATGAGAAGTGACAACAGGAGGAGAGGCTGTCATTGTCTGTGGCTAAGTGTTCAATCTGCAGCCGTGTCCGTATGCAGATAAAGTGTCAGTTAGCAGAGAGGGTGTGAGGCAGTGGCAGTATGAAGTCTTCAAATCATTTAACTGCTGGAAACACACTCTGTCTCTGTGTGTGTGTGTGTGTTTCTGGTAATAGCAGCAGCGCACTTCACTGTGAAGGAAATATATATTGCATATCTGATCTATCAGGGCTGTTTAGGCCGATCTACTTGGATAACCTGATCTGTGTCTCATATATTAAGGCAGGATGCAGAGCTAAGAGATTTAAACCAGCGGGACCAGAGAGGAAATAACTTATTCATGTCAAGGACATTGATATTTTCTATCATACTGAGGTATTGGAAAATAAAAACCCCAGCACAGAACTGCTTTAATTTTCTCTGGGATTTTTTAAAATGATGTACTTCCTCCTGGGAGAGTGACGGGAAGACACAGAGCCGAGGTTGTTAGGCTTAATGGATGGCTCCTCGTGATTCTCCGTCTCTCCAATTTGAGGTTATATATCACAAATTTTCCCCTTTTTCATATTTTTATGTGACAGTACAAACTGAGAGCCCGGCTCTTCCACAGAATAGTTTGTCCTGTTTATCTTAATCAGGTGTATGTGTGACACCATAACGTGTTAATGAACAAAGTGCAGTGTGTCACGGTGAGAGCTGAGACCAAACAAACCTGTTCTCCCTGAGCGACCGTTGTCTATGACCTCGTCATTAAACAAACCACAAACACATGACCTCCGTTAACTTGTCAAGTCTTTGTTTGCTGCTAAAACAGGCCTAAAACCAGGCATCAGTGAATGTGTCAGGTCAGGGCCGTGTCTGAGGAAAGATGGTCTTCTGCATGTGTTCTGGACCAGCTGTCGGGATTCAAATCCTGCCGACAACGTCCTTGAGTTCTTTAGTAGAACCGTAGCGTAGCGGAATCAGAAAGCAGGGAGTCCTGGGTTAGATTCCCAGAGGTACAACATACTTGACCTTTTCAAGGAGCAGTCTGTGACACAGGATGGGGTCAAGTGATTAATATATAATTATAATTATAATTGTTCTATGGTGATGACTCATCCAGGCAGAGACAGTGTGTACAGTCTGTAGTTCTTCTTTCTCTACTGAAGTCATAGCTGGATGCACCTTTACTCTGAC